ATAATATGGCTTAGGTACTTACAAAGCTATAAGTTAGACCGTATTCCTATTACAATAAACGCTAAATTTGTTAAAGATGACAATTAATGAGGTTATAATTGTTAATTGAAAGCCATTTTTTATGAGCAGGACGCATAGCCTCGAGGATGGTTGGGTTAAGATAAATTTGACAGTACCCCTGGTGGTTAGGGATTTAAAAATAGTAGTATCACTCCAATTGAATCCGAAAAATTGTGCCGAAGTATGGCTCCACTACACTCTTATTGCTACTAGCTTACAGCCGCCCTTGATAGATGGGTACCAAGAAAATTATGATGAACTCTTCATAGTTATAGAAGGCGGATAGTCCACCAGTTAATGATGATCGCCAATATCACTCGTCACGGGTAGCATAAACCTTGGAATTTCAATTGATTTTAAACTTCAATTCAAATCAACGAAAGTAAACATTCCTTTGACAGCTTCTGTACGCAATAACAAAACATTTTTTGTCACTTTCACTCTTGATGTATCTCTTTCTTCATTGCCTTTATACGTGATCCCATTGTCGAAGGTACGTGAGCTCCCAGAGGTTATGCCAATAACAGCTGATTTTTGAAGAGGAGAAAGTTTACACAAATATTTATTTTGTAATAGGTAGGTATGTAGGTAAATGAATATTAAGATTGTTATTTTTTTTGTTTATTGTAGTTTCTATTTGTAGTTGGGATTTTTTTTATACGTAATAGTGTTCGATTTTTTATAAATTTTTAAATTTTTGAATCTGGATTATGGAATACATCCATTGTTCGGTCGTTACACGCAGAACTTCCATTCTTTTTTCAAACTCAAATTTATTTTAAAGTTAAAATAATAAGCTACTTAGAGTTTTAATAAAAATTAAGCTAATAAAAAACAATCGGTACAGTAAGCGGCCGGGTAGAGAGCGTGACAGACGTCTTCACGTTATGTTCTTAGATCAATAAACTGCAATGCCAAGTGCGCTTTGCTAATCAGCTGTTGCACTGAGCAAATAGTATGCAATCAAATATACACGCATTGTTTTACATTACTACGACACATGGGTGTAGATCATAAATCACGATAGCTAGACGCTTACTGAAAAATACAGTTTTATTTGGTCCATTAGATACAAATATAAGTACTAGCTTTTGCCCGCGACTTTGTGCGCGTGGAATAGTGACTTCCTGCAGATTTTTTGTTAAAAAACTATCATATGTCCTTTCCAAAATATGTCTGAACCAAATTACACACAAATAGGTTCAGTAGTTAAGGCGTGAAGAAAAGAGAGACAGACAAACAGACAGGGTTACAGTTTATGTGAACAAAATGAGCAACAAATCGATTATAAATTAACCTGTCTAACAAAGTGAAAAATGAAGTCTCAAACCATACAATTAACTCACAACTACGCGTTTAAAAAATTTCGTGATAATCTGTATTTAATATACATTCGCAAATCGATTGTAATTCGATTACGTTAGCATTACATTCGCAAAAAACTCGATACTTTCGTTCCGTAGGCGCGGGCGGCGAATAATCGTGCGTTTTTATCGATTACAATTATCGATTGGACTCGGTGTCGATCACACGAATGTCACCAGGTGGTACCTACCTTGGAAATCGATCGTTCTCACACATTGTTACGTAATTTATAAATTGACTCGTGTGTGTGTGAGAGTTTTATTTATCGATCTTTGTCCGTTTTTTATTATTCTTCTAAGCTGTCCTTTGGCCACCATCTCGCTAATTTTCTGATGATATTGTTTAGTGTTTGCATTATAAAATAACATAAATAAAAGATAAAAATGCTAATACCCAGGTGTTAAACAAGTATTTTTCTGACTAAATAAGCGTCTCACGTATTACGCGGGTCATGGTATACCTACTGTTTTTGTTGACTCACTTTTAGTCATTTATTTAAATAAAAAAACGTGTATAATCATCTACTACTGAGTATATTACCTGAATTATCTTTATATTAGTTAGCCATCTAGAAACAAAACATACTTAGAAAGTTTTTGAATAAGTAAGAAAGCCCTACTACATCCTGGTGGTATATAGGTGCAATATACAAAAATATGCAGGCGCCCATCTAACAGCTGGTTTGATACAATTCTTAAAAAACGACAGAACTTAAAATTCAAAAGTCAAAAAGTAAAAAATCATTGATTCTAATTAGACCCTTACAGGAACTTTTGAACATCAAACAAAATTTTGAAGATATACTGTCAGTCTGAGAGTCTGTCAGTGAAACTATTTGCTCGTTCCAAAGTGTAGATTCCGATGGAAAAGACTGATGAAGAAACTCCATGGTTACTCTTTTTCAATCAGTTTCACATACAGATTCCTTCCTTTAACTTACAAGTTCTTTATTTTTCATTAAATAATATCAAATTACAAAAGATAATGACAAATGGTGGTGGTACTGTCGTATCGATTGCATTACCACGTCCCGTTCTGTATCACGATTTAATAACACGAAATATATTATTATTTTAATTAATTCACAGCCGCCATCTTGATATTTGATAGTCTTGTAAACAATGTGACGTCATTATCGTTGTTTATTTTTCTTTTTTAATATCGTTTGTTTTGCGATTTGAAAGCGTTAAATGGCCATTATTCGTATTTTTGTTTTTCTTTTATTTATATTCACTTTCGTTAAATAAACCTTGGTATAATAGAAAATTGATCGATGATCAATTCTACACAAACATATAAATACCGGATTCGTAAAATTTTTTTTTAAATCTAAAAGTCATAAACTCCTATACCTAACTATGTATATTCCAGGACAAAAATAACTTTATTATTTATACAAACACATACATTTAAGGAACCAAAGAAAGCTTGCATTACTTTTTAACAGCAAAGATAAACTCGGCCTCAGAGGCTGTACAAAAAAGCCGACAGTTACATAAACTGAAACTACTATTGAAGCGAAATATTAATCAACAGTTCGGTAATATAATGAGCAGGTTTCATACTATATGTTATATGTATAGCTACTATGTACACTATATACTATGTATGGTCGAGGTCATTGACCGATGTGCTGCGCTCTGAAATTTCACTTTCGATCACTTCGTCTCGACCGGTGTCGCATCGGTGATAGGGTTGTCTCGTTTTGCGAATTATTTTATTACTTTAATTTGTCATTAATTTCAGTTCTTGTGTAATTTACATGGGTTATATTGTATTGTTATACTTAAATATTATTGTCTGAAGATAGTTAAGATACAAATAAAATTCTTAACAAATAAGGTATGCGGTAATATGATAGGAGTTTTGTATTCGAATGTTATCCGTTGAATTTTGAATGGAAAAAATAGCGTTTTATAATTATTTAGCTGACCATATTTAAAAGATCAGTTTATATATTTTTCCAAAAACATTCACTGCACTTGTTAGTGTTTATTAAAGGACGAAATTTAATTTTTGTAATCATCTTTTAGAACTTACTTTAAAACTGATAAAAGTTTTTTAAAAAACCATAAGAGTGAAATAAATACAAGATGTGTACCTACACGTGCGCTCGCTACTATAACCTTAATAAACATTAGAAATAAATCGAGAAACATTTCCTATAAAACTTTCCCGTATGAAGGAAGGTAGATATCGACGTACAGATAAAGTGTGACAGCCCTAGTACGGTTGGCAACGAAGGAATGTTGTTAATTAATTATATCTAAATGTTTTGCTATCCGTACTTTCTAAATTTGAAACTTTATTATTCTTAAATTAATTGGAATTAATAAATTTATAGACAGGATCTAACAATTTAAATACATCAATGATTTATTTTATTAATTGAGTTACTTCAAAAGTATGAATAAAATTTTATTAATAAAATTTTACTTTTCATATATGTGTTGTATAGACAATAGGTATAAATACAGACCTAAGTTATTTTCTGGCAATTAATCGTACCACGAATTTAGGAATTCTCTACATAATACCGTTCTATAGAATGTATATCTCAAAGATCTATATACAGTACAATTTAGGTGTCTTCAAGGCTAGAGTGAATAGGCTCTTAATAAACTAGTGCGCCTTATCATCAACGATTGCATCACTGCTTACCATCAGGTGGGATCGCAGTCAAGCACTAGTTTATTGCAAGTTAAAAAAAAAATATAGCATATAGCATATTTTATCATTGTCGGGCTCATGAGATGAATTCTCTACGAATTAAAACTGCTGAATTTTAGTAAAACTCAATAAGTGTATTTACACAAGGAGCTTATGAAATTATTGATAACCGCCTGCGTAATATACCTACTTACTTATACCATACGTAATTGACCAAGCGGTGCGCATCGAAAGCAAGTGTTGTGCAAATATGCGCATGCGCAGCTGGGGGTCAAGTGCTGTTACGTCACTGCGCATCGTGTGCATTTTGTGCATTTCGGTGCATTACACGTTGTCGTGATGACCCAGATCGATCGGTGGTGACAACGCATTCTTATGACCTGACCTTAATAAAAATAAAGTTGAATTTAGCAATCTGTTTAAGTAGCCATTTTTTCTGAACTTTGTAGCTAGGTGTTTCCAAGTGTATGGCAATTAAAACAGCATTACATACTGCAAAACTTCAATTAACACTTATTAGTATTTTAAATCAAAACCATACATAATGTATATGTGAAATATTATTATATGTCACTGAAGTGGAGAACGGGCGGTGGTCGGGAAACTGTGTGCTGTGTCTCGAGTTCGATACTCGCACTTAAATTGTTCGTGTTATGCACAAATTTTTAAGTCTTGTGCATGTAAAACTGTTTCATTAAAACACACGACACAGGACAAAACCCTACTGTGGAGTCACGTTATAAAAACATATATAGGTATATCACAATGGAGACCGGTCACTATTACCGTAGCATATGAAATAAAAGCCATCGTGCATAAAATGCTGAAAGAAAAATTTGAACAATTTCAGTGCATAATGTTGTATTTGTTGGGAAGTGACTTACACGATATATTTTGTTATACAGGTGCTGAGCATCGGGTTACGGCCACCACGCACTCGCTTACGTGACCGAACGACGACTCGTTAAAGGTAAAGGTTGCTTAGTGCTTACTTCTACCTACTTTGTAACACGACCATATTGTTCTAGGATCAGGAAGCTGGTTTCCTGACGATGGACAATCCTTTATACACTTTTTGGAAGATATTAACTGCAATAGCTTTATTGAAAAGTACGAAAATATTAACTGCTATAACAGCTTTATTGAAAAATACGAAGAACAGAATGCCAAACATTTTTACTAAACCTTAATTGGGAAATGAAAGCTTAAAGACATTCTACAGCATTAATTGTTGATAAATCCGGCAATTATCAGCAAATATCACGATAAATAATCATAATCGAAGCTCTATTTGAAACTTCCGCAAATTATGTTTTTGATCAATCATCAGTCAATCGATCAGGAGCGAAAACAATTAAATAAATTACAAAATCCTCACATTTTAGACGTGTTAATAAAGGAAAACTTAGGATATCCTGTTACAAACAGATAAATGTGTGGTCGGAAATTATTAATGTCAGTTTGTTAAATAAAATAAAAGTATGAATCAACCAGCTGAAAGAAGACCTTAACGAATACATAAATTAACCAGCTGAAACTCAATCTTAGTAATGAATTGAACTGAACTGAGGAATATCGATACGGCTTTCAAGAATAGAGCGTACTATTATCTAAAATATACGCTAAATACTCGAGATTCCTCTTGTGTTTAGGGGCGACAGTCACCGCTAATCCTCCTACAGACAAAAAGCCCTTCAGAATTTAGTAATAGACCATTCTCCTAATAAAATATAACCTCATATAGTTACAATCACAAAGTTCAAAACTGTTAAGAAATGCTGTAATAAAAACAATAACATTACAAATGCAATGGAAGCCGCGAATGCTAATACAACGTAAGAAGATAATCAAATCGTTGAAGCAGAAGTAGGATGGTGTTGGGTCGTGGGTACTATGAGTAAAGCGAACAGCGACACAATAGTAGCTCACACCACAGCCAGTGTGCACTGATCGTAATGTGAACTGCATTGTTGAAGCTTGTTCTTTAGCTTATCTAGTGCTAGATCCGGCTGCCACCATCGGGACAGTAATTGCTGGAAAATGTGCCCGTAATTACACTAATTAACAGTTAGCTCTAGATTTAATGAAGTACAGATTTTAAATTTTAATGAGTAATCTTTAGTTCATTCACAACGACAATGATGAGACAGAATAATCGTCACAACAATGCAGATTTAAAAGTCTCATATGATACTGATGTCGTAAATTTGAAAATATTATTGCTTTGAAAAATTGCAAAGTCTCGTTTATAACAAAACCTGCCTACAACTGAACTGAAACGACAAAATTAAATGCCAACATATTTCACACAAGAACATGAATCAATTGAATGTCAAATAATACCCAAACAATACGAGAACAGTCAAAATTTCAATGAACAAGTCTTTAAGTCCAGTTTCGCGAATGATTTATCATTCTTAAATTACGCTTGCCCTGAGAATTTCAGATTGCATATCATAGCGGTGATATTTTAAGTTTGTGAAGGCTTTGACTTTGATCACCATTATAATATACTCGCTATTGTGGAATGTGGAACGATGTAGATATTTTAGAATGATAAATAAATACAACAGTCGAAGATATTTAATGGTGCTTAAATGGCTGTGATCTATTTCCAAACACATTGAGGCTATGATCTTCTAGAACTCATTGGTGTCACTCAATGAATTCGAATTTGTACTGTTTCGTTTAATTTTCTCCGTTCATTGAGAGACATTCTAGTCGCGACTGCATATTAATTAAGGCTTCATTTCGCTCTCGGAATACCAGAGATAGTCAGCCGCGAGATGTATCGAGTTCCCACAGGCAACGCCGGAGTTTTTACATGTTATCGCCACCTCGCATCTGTGGCCGGCGAGTGATTGCAATGGCCGCCAATATCTGTAACACTGACTGTGGGATAAGTGTTAGGAATGTAAGGAATTAGATAGAACTACTCGGATGAGCTTGTTTCTATTTTGTTGCGTCGTTTGGTCCAAGTTTTTTTATTCTAAGTGATTTTGTGTTTAAATTTTTCTCATCTGATTTATAATAGAACCCTTACTACATATAAATCTTTTTCAATCTATTAATAGACGATAGAGTCAAATACACGCAATGTATATAAACATCCATTGATATTAGATAATAAAGTTATTGTAATTTATTTTTGGAAAGCAATAAGTAAACTTCACAAAGAATATCACATGAAATCACAAACAAGATGCCTCATTTAGACATAATACAAAATCGCTGTCGCTTACAACACGAGGCACCGTCTATAAAACCGTCCGGGCTGGCGCACGCGCTCCGCGTAATCTCAGCCATCGATCCTTGTTAATTGATCACCCGCACCTGTCCGCTGCCTGCCGTCTGTCCGGCCGTCCTGCGGGATGGTCCGGCCGGACGCTCTGTCCGGTGGCACGCCATCTGGCCGCGTGCCTCAGCTATCTCATCTTCCCCCTTTTAATATTAGCCGCGTGTTATCTGCCCCGAGGAACTCCTTCTTTTTAGATCAACTAGTTTCGTATTGAATGAAATTTTCTTAGCCAATATTTATTAGTTCTAGTCTCAGTCTTAGCTGTGTCCTGTTTTTATATTTTTAGCGCTCTAGTAGTTGCATGATAATTACTCTTAAGTTTTCATTCACATTAATTATAATAAATTGTTGATCTGTTGGAATGTTAATAATTCTAACGAATAGAGGTCCATTAAATTAAATTTGACCTTCGAAGTAACCCAAACGATTGCGACTATTAGATTGAACAACCATAAATTTTATATTCCAATAAATTATCACCGTTGCAGTAACGCGACAGATAAAGTAATTAATGATAAAATCATAAAAATTTAATATTTCAAAACTGGAGGTAATAAAGCAACCGAATGTATGAACGGCAAATGTGTGTCGAGCTTGGTTGGCATGGGCACGCTTCGAAATAAAATGCCATGAAATATCAATTTGTAATTCCTGCGACATGGTGTTGAGTAAGACTTTACCCGGTCAGTAACAGAAGCATGTCACTACATGTAACGGAGGCCAGAAAGTCAGGTACACGCGAAGAAATAAAAACTGTTTGATTGAGTAAAAAAATATTGGTCGAAAGACAGACTATTTTTGACTGTTTTAGCTACGTCTGTTCAAAATAAGGATGCAATTAAGTGCGCTTAAAGCAGTTACAAAACAATTGGTTGAAAACAATCCTTCTGCGCTTTCTGTACCATAACAGGTCGAACAGGGCGGGCCCAGCGCATGCGCATTGCAACACACGCCATTCGGATTGCCCGCCACTACAAACACATGTCCAACGTTTTGTAACTATCAATTGCTGCTTTTAATTGCTCTGCATGTCACGGAATTTTGTAATTATCGTAGTATTCTTAAAAATGTATGATTGAGATTAATTCACAGCTTAACACCAAACGTTTACCGTAACGCAATAACACGACGAGCAATAAAACGAACACCTTGTAGTAACGCAGCACTTACATTCTCGTACAATTTACATATAAATTGCTGAACAAGTACCCGACACTGAAGCCAGAAACATTCGGAAACAAGCGAAGAAACAAAGACAATACATTACAATCAGGATACTTGAGATTATTGTACGCAGATACGACGTTACCCTTGAATAGAGCGAAATATAATTGCATAATGGCTCACGCAAGTTGAATGCGCCATTAGTAAAGTGGTGAAGTGGCGAAAAAGTTGTGTGAAACAATAGACGCGCGTGCGCAGGCCGGCCTAGCGAACAATGAGCGAGGAGCGCCGCGGGCAGAGGTGGTGCCGACCATCTGACCACAGCACCGCACTGTGGAGATGGCATATTTAATAGTACAGATGTACGGAGTTACAATTCCAAATAGGTGCGATTCAGTGAAATATACTTACTATTAAATATTGGAAACACACTAAAACACGATACCGTGAGATTCCCCTTAGACGGGGAGATGAAAATAAAAGCCACAAAAGAAACAAATGAAAGGAAAAATTGTCAAATCATGACGAACAACGAAGAAAATATTTGGAAAAAATATTCCTTGATTTGCCGATATTCCCTAAAATTATTGTTTCCAGTACCCCTTGCCGCATCCAGTAATTCCTAGCTGGGCTGGGCGCGCGCTAGCTATTAGAGCGTTTGGTAGACAATATGGGAGATGTTAGATTGCGGCCATTGTTCCGGCGTCGCCTGCCGGCTGCTGGCGGCAAAAAGACCACTCCGCGTCCGTGCAGGACCACACCGAGCTGTGGGTCACTAGAGAACACCATGTTTAGTAGTTGCTACATTCTTACCCATTGTAACTCAGGCATGCAAGCCTTTTTCACCATCCACAATATCGTTTGCAACATCAAAAATATCTACATTAAATGTCTGACAGATACACTCCACAAACTATTTACTGTAAGTAAGGAAATGTCAACCAGACTGTCCTGGATTGTATAGCTACTCTAATTCCTTGCATTGAGAGTCCATTACATCTTCACTTGCATGTAGTGCTACTGCCAGGTGTTCACGGAGATCACTCGTTAGATTAGAAAGAGCCTCGCTAATCTGAAAGCAAATCTCTGCAGCATCTGTCGGTACTAATTCAAACTTCTAAAATTTCCTGTTCATGTTTCCTGGATTCCTGATTGACAAATAGATATAGTGTTTAGGGTTGCCAGTCTATCGTGGCTCAAGTTTTACAGTACGTTATACATTAAAAATGTTTACTAAGTTTTTTACAACTTGCTAACATGAAAGAATGGCGTTGCCATGTTTGATGGTTATTGTACCTATTGTAACTAATGTTACTATGTTGAACAATTGTCTGATAGATTTTTGAAGAAAGTAAATAAAGTCAGCGTGGACATTTTTAGTGTTATTAACATTTTACAGAACAGAATAGGCAATATTTAGCTAGCGATTATTAAGGAGGAAGGGTATGCGGTAACTTGAGAAGATCGTCGCATGCGCAGCGAGTGATGTGCGAGCATCGAGCAGGAAG